GATCCGCTAATCAGTTGTCTACAACTATGCAAAATTTGGCGCGGCCACGCCGCGCGGTTCGGAAACCATTCTAGAGAAACGCTCGAAGGGGGTCAATTTGGCCCCTCTCACCCAAGCACGTGTTAATGGCGGTCTGCACAGATTTGGGAGATTTTCTGTCTGTCATGCATCTTAGGATTTTAAGCGCTAATTTTGAGTCATTTTACCCTGGTCACCCGTGGGTCTTGACCATGAGCGCTTAACCGATCACAAACGTCGAGTATATGCTCGTAATATACCCTGATAATTTATTCATGTTTTTGTTAGATCAGCATCCTCTAGTATGTTGTGGATGGGCTATTGTCTGTAAAATACCCCCCTTTGATTTCAAATAATGCTGCTCATAGAGACAAATACAGAAGAAAACCATTCATGATCAGCAACAGTTCTGTTTCGTGCATTAAATAAGTGTGCTCTTATCCCAAAAGCACTGACCAAGCACGCTAGTCTACTGTTTCGAGCACATGAGCTCGTTTCTTGACGACAAAAACTTCGTTTGAACATTTGAACTGCCTGCCAATTAAACGAAATATTTCATTATTAACGCGCGTATTGGAACGTTTTGAATGACAAATCAGGCGGCGACGAATGATGAACCACTTCCCGTTTTGGTTTTGGTACTCAGTCCGCACTAAAGGATCACTGAGGCTCCGTAGCATGCTTAAGAGGTGCTAAATGGTCAAAGACTGACCTGCAAATATTGATTTTCTTTTAGACACCATATCAGAATAGAAAACAAAGAAACGCGACTGGGTTATGTGTCAGCATCAGGGGTACAGCCAGAGCCATGGCAAGAGGGGGCACAGGGTTGACAAGGAGCCCCTGACAGTAAAACGGCCCGCTCAAAAAATCTCCAGATATGACCCATTTGTTATTGAGGACACGTTTTTCATATATATATATATATATATATATATATATATATATAAATTACATCTTCTTCTTTTCTTTAATTAGGATATAGGCCAAACGCAACGGCGAGACCAATTCTGCCCTAAGTTTATAGTAAATGCTTTGACGAAATCACGCGTGAAATGACTGCATGGAATCAAGCGTCCGGCCTCTTCATTTGATACTGGTCCAGTGAACTCATTTTACACCGATAGAACTCAGTAACTTTGTACAATTTTTTTTAGGGTTGTACGGAAATAGCAAGGATTCTGCGAATGTAGATCGAAGATCAAAATGGTCAACAATTTGTATTTACATGGCCAGGCCGTGTTTGTTTAGATATCTGCAACATTCAGTCAGAATTGGTTTATAGTGCACATTATGTAACGTAGTTTTGAGCATGCGCACTCGCATATTTGAGAAAAAACACGACGCTAGGCGTTGCAGTCTCCCTAAGCCGCGCAACGTTAGTTTCCCAGACTCGCGGTGGTTAACGCAGGCGCATGAACCACAGTATCGGCACCCGGCACACAGGTTCAAACCTTTTGATGGCATTTTTTCACTATTCGATAATGCAGAACAATGAACGCTCTCTGGGAAACATGGGGTGGCCTTGTGCGTTTTGAACCCCTTTCGACCCACTCCATTCAGCGCTCATGAGACCCCTTATTTCCTTTCGTTAAAGGAGCTCCCCTGAGTACAACACTACAGAACGCATTCTTGTCAAGGTGAAGAGCTGAAAGGCCATTTTGTCCCACCGCGGTGTGTCTTCCAGCCGTCATTCTGGCGACACGGGGCGGCGTCCCCTGACCGATCATCATCGATTCATCATATCACATTGTTCCGCTCCCTGACACGGGAGGCGTTTTGACCAGCGCAGTTGGCCCGATGAACCGGCGCTAAAACGCAGACAGACGCATGAACCGGCACTGAAACAATTGGAAAAGGGTTGAAAGGCGATGCTGGAAAAGGGTTGGAGGGTCCATCGTTCGATAATGGGCCCCTGACTGGCACAGGACTCTTCTTTTACCTCAGTGTGAGCACTCATTATAAGTTCTTGTTACCTTCAACTGTCAGAGGGTCCCGAACCAACGCAAGAGGCCCTCTGCCATTCTGGCTCCCGTCCCCGTTCCTGTTGAGCAAATCTTCCCCTAACCGATTCGAGGCCCCATGTTGACGCAGAACGCCCTGTTAGACACTGTGGGCCCCTGAACGATACAGGAGCCTGACCGATGCAAATCGCGGACCTGGCCTTGTTCCTGCTTGGAGAATGGGCCCCAAGAGCTCAGACCAACACGGAACTGACTGCTCGTTGTTCATGACCTCTGGTCGAAATAGAGGAACGCTCCGTCTCAGGGGTCCATATTGGTGAAAGAGATCATCTTACTGACATTTGAGATCATGGCCCCGCGGGCGGGGTCCTTAATGTAACCAACAGCTAGCCCTTCAGACCCCTCAGCCTGCCCATCGGGCCGTTGATATTTGGTCTCGAGAGAAACTTCGACCCCTCTTCGGGCCTCTCAAGCACCCCCGACTCGTGGTCACTTTCTGCCGCAGGACCCCTGTTCGACGCTGTGGCTTCTAACCGATATCGGAGCCCCTCATTGTGTTAGGGACCCCGAACATTGCAAAACGCGGACCCCAGCCTCGCTTCTGCTTGGGAAATGGGTCTCAAGGGCTCAGACGGACATGAAACTGACTGTTCGGTATTCGTGGTCTCTGGCCGACTTAGACGTCCGCGTTGTCCCAGGGGCCCCTCAAACAGTGCAAGAGAACCTCTGACTGACATTTCAGGTCACGACCCTACGGGCCGTGATTCTTTATGTGATCTTCAGCCAGTCCGTCGGGCCCTTATGCCCTCCAACCGGGGCTTTGATAGTCGGCTGCGGTGGGCCGCCCGGGCTCCTATTCGGGCCTCATCAAACACTTTCCTTGGTCGGCTCGTGGCCCTTGCGAGCACAAGGCCCTCTGCTAGGCGTTGTGGGCCCCTGACGGATACAAGGCCCCGAACACTGACCCCGACTTTATGGCTTAATGGGTGCGGTGAAGCCTGACCGACATATAGGCCCATATCGACTCAGGGGTCCCCGATCGGTACAAAGCGCTCTATGACCGTTATCTGAGGGCCCGTCTTCATAGGTCAGGGTCCCTGAATAAGACTTCGACCAGCCCTTTATGCCCCCAGACTCTCCAACCGGGCCCTTGATCATCAGACCGGGTGGGCCGTCTAGGCTCTTCGGGCCTCCTCGAACACTGCCTCTGGCCGACTGGCCGACAGGGCCTCTGTTAGACGCTGTGGGGCCCCGAGCAATGTAAATCGCTGGCTCCACGTTGGTCCCTGCTTGGGAAATGGACCCCCGGGGCCATGCCGCCGCGGAGCCGACTGTGCGTTACTGGTGGTGTCTGACCGAACTATAGGCTCTTATCGACTCAGTGGACCCCTGATCAGCGCGCAAGGCCCTCTGGCTGGCACTTGAGTGACCCTGCGGGCCGGAACCCTTGAATATGACCCCTGACTGGCTTTTTGGGTCCTGCGGCCCTCAAATCGGGCCCGTAGTCGTAGGTTCCTCGGGCCCCTCGGAACCTAATAGGGAGAGAGGGAACATGCCCCCGTGCCTTCCCGTACCTGCGCTACTGATCAACACCAATACATCACACAGATTTTGTGGGTGTTTCATCTCTTCTGTTAACATGCCCCCGGGTGGCCGGATAGCTACCCATCGCTCGGGTAGGGGTTCAATTTGACCCCCCTGAGATCTCGGCAACTAAGGAAGAGGAGACACCAAATTCACAGGGTATGTTGACCTGTACGTGAACTCACCAATTGAAAGTTTGAGGTTCCTAGGTCATGACTTTGGGGTCAAATAAGGTCAACAAGGTCAAATTCCAGGTTGGTCTCCAAAGTGCCCCCGGAACCTAGATAGCTGTTCTAGCAAGAGGTCACATGCCCATTTAAGTTCAGTGACCTTTTTGACCTTTCGAAGGTCATGGTGACCAAAATCATACAAAACTGCTCTGTGTTGGCATCTGAATAAGCGACGAAGATAACGCTAGACGGTGCTCCTAAAAACAAAATGTTGACCTGGGTCACTCTAGGTCAATGACCTATTCTGACCTCTAAGAAGTCTATGGAAGATGTGTAATGCGGTTCCTCATATCAATAAATTCGAAATGAGCACCAAAAACTACCCCATACAGCAAGCCCTAGCGTAATAAACCAGGTTGATTTGACCTGGTTTGACCTTCTTACCTGGCCTTGGTTAATGTAATTTGTTCACTCAATTGTTGTGTTGCCTAAGAAAGCATCTCAGAGATGTATGGCTTCGTCTTACATTCCGTTGTTGCGTCAGATTGAACGATTCCCTAGAAATTAACTTTGCTGCAACCATGGTCTGACTTTGACCTGCCACAGGCCAGCAACCTTACAAGGTACTTCTAAATTGCTGATACCAAACGATCCGCTATTCCATTGTCTACAGCTATACAAAATTTGGCCGGCTACATTGCGCCGTTCGGAAACCATTCTGGAAAAAACTTCGGGAGGGGTCGATTTGACTTCCTCGCCCGATCGCGTGTTAACCATGCTTAGTGATGTAAAAAATTATAACACAAATAATTGCATGGAATACTTGGATGCGTCCCGCAAAGCATTATGGGCTGCAGTTCAATTCTTTGCAAGCAAAGGTCACGTGTGTCATTGGGACTTCACAACGCGCTCAGCTGATGAAGCCAAATGGAATCCGCTGCCTCTCATTCCAGCTGGAAGGACAGAACCCTACACCTGTGGTTTTCCAGACTCGCAGTGTTGGACGCAGACGCGCTAAACGCTGCGTTATCGGCACCCCTATAAGGGCCAGACTTCTACGGTTTCGGCCATGTTAACGCTACGCGACTCCACGCCACACGCGTCTGTCTATGAGTGTTCCCTGACTGGCTCTGTATGTCTCACGCAGCGCGCCTGCTTCCCTGTCTGCCGCCGCACCACCAGCGGTCGCGCCGTCACGTGTCGTCGGCGGCCGCATGCCGCGCCGTGTCGCCTGTGCCGTGACCATGCCCCCGGCTCCCCGCAGTTCGCCTGCTGCCCATATCCGGCATTCCGGGGGCGTTTCGGATGGTCGCCACTGGAGAGCGGCCGCACCCGAGGAAGGCCGTGTCGGAGGACCCGGAGCTCACTCGCCGCGCCACGGTCAGTCTGTGGTGCCTGCAGGCAATTCAGCCGCGCTACACAACACAACAAACGCCACCTGTCGCCGGTCGAGCACAGAGAGCGGTTGCACGCATGCAAAACCGAAAGCTGTCGGCCGGTTCTCAAATGGTACGCCACGCCATAACCTGCTCGAAGTTGGTCGATTGCCAGGCATCGTCACGAAAGACACGCCACATCCTTACGTACTTCTTAATGAGATTGAGATTGAGAAAGAATGAGAGAATGAGAGAGACCTTCGAATCGAGCAGCCCGATTTCTTGTCATCAGCTACGCAGCCGACAGTCCGCTCAGCAAGCAGCACCGGCATGATGCGCGAACACTGTGAAGAGGCTGGCGAGCGCTGAGAAGCGCCAGCCAATCAGTGGGCTGGCAGAGGACCTGGTCGGCCGGCTGCCATCCGCCGGCGCAACCCCGCCTGGGCGGCGACATGGAAGCTAATCGAGCAGCCTCTGAATAGCACCGACCAGCGGCGGCCCCGCGGGGCTTCTTTGGCTCTGCGCTGCGCTGATTAGGTGGACAAACTACCGAGGCATGATGCCTCACGTGGATCACGTGGCTCGGACTGGACGAGTCACGTGTTATCTGAGGCGGCACCTGATAGCCAGAAGCAGAACGGAATGTCGTGTCACCAGCAAATAAATGCTTGTAGAATCATGCTATAAGCTTTTCTTCATCGTGCCAATAGACTTACAACTTTGACGCACTCTCATTTTGTCCAGCTTTGATATATACGTCATTGAACACCCTGGCGTGCTGCTGGTAACTGGCCCTGTCTTTCCCAAAAGCTGCCGGCCAAGGGCGAATCTAGTGCTTAATTTTGAAGCAACCGAGTCCGTAAGTTGGGGGTCAGCGTTCAGATGCAAATTATGTCTTCGTGGAGGCATGGTCCCCGCTGACCGCTTCCGTCTGTCCATGCGCCCGATCTCTCCCATCACCTAGCGTGTCAGTCACCAGAATTGACTTAGTCGAGTCGCATGTTGCTGAAGTTCGCTATGACCATAACTGGGGATTAAAACGGCATGACATGCAATTTCTGAGCAGCAGGGGCGCAGTCCGGCAAAGTAATTTACATGCAGGATGGGGACTGAGCAGGGAAAACGACTAAACCTACCTCGCAAATGACCCCACAGTGAGTTTTCTTTCGTCTTTGGCACACTTTATTCTACAATGTAGCGACCGGAGTCCCCAACTGAATAAGAAACTACAATTCCTAATACGGCCCACTGGTAAAACTGGTGATCCTCTTGGCGAGTAGTGTCATTAGAAGCATATGTCAATATACACGTCCTCAGTGCGCAGGCGGGCGTGAAAGCTGACGAGCGCTGGCTGACGAGTCGTCTCGTATTTTGACGAATGCGGAACTAAAGGTGTACTACATTCACGCGTTTTCACAGTGGGGCAGGGCACCGACAGTGAAATAGTTAAGGAAAATGCTCCACATTTCTATGGGGGTTTTGAAACAAAGATAGACATTTTGAAGACCTTTCAGTACAGTTCACAACCTCGCCCTTCCTAAACCCAAGCCCCTCTAGTTTCTGAGTTACCCACGGGCGAAAATGGGGAGAGTATTTCTGGGAGAGTATTTCTGGGAGAGTATTTCTGGTAGAGCATTTCTGGGAGAGTATTTCTAGGAGAGTATTTCAAGGTCTCCTTGACATCCACAACGTCATGACAACGTCATCCAAATACTGGCATCCCATAAGCCATGCGACGACCAAGACCAAGAAAAAATGTATTAGTCGAGTGATTCATATCTGCCGTCTGTGAACACCATTTCCAGATATAAAGCAACTGGTGCCCACAGACGAAATGATGCTCACGAACATGGTGCTCCGTCAGTTGGCTCCCAATCAATGTTGTGCAGAGAACGATGATCTAAGCAAACAATGATGTATCGAGGAGCATATTTACTTAACAGAAAAATTACTTTGTTTAGAGCAGTCCATTCCAGTTAAAGGATATTCATAGTTATAAGTGAGCTTGTTTCATCATGTATGATGCTTGCTTCAGTATCTTCAAATGTGAAACATCCCCTTTAAGCTGCACGCCTGAGAAACCAGCGGTACGGGGTTTGATTCCCTGCCGTACCCACCCTTGCTTCAGCAGATGGGTGGGTCATAAAGCCGTCATAATGTTGGTGATGATGACATTGCCTCGCTTAGCTCAAACCTTGATTCATGTGTAACTCGGCCTCTTTACGGAAATATGTAAAGCAATTTTGTTCCTAAAATATTAATATCTCCAAGATGCAACTGATGATCGAAGCACTCCACTCACGTCAAGATAGCCAAAGCTTGTTATTACCGTCCCCACCTCATTCGAGAGGCGGCTGAATGATTGGATGATCACGGGCAGCTGATACCTGGAAATATATAGATTCCTTCCAGCCGTCCGACAGGGGTCAATAAATCAGTAACTGGCGCCAACCTCGGCGACATATCGATGAATCGAACAATTTCGGAAAAACGCACATCGTATTAGCTGACAGGCGGTAAGCTAGGTCCCACAACACTTATCATAACGCGACATCAGTTTCATCACCGAGCTAACTGCGCGAAATCGGTGTCATCACCGAGCTATCTGTGGCGACACCGGTGTCATCACCGAGCTATCTGAGGCGACATCAAGTGTCATCACCGAGCTATCTGCGACAACGAAAAGCACTCATAATCGTAATATACGTGCTACACCTCACACGAATTATCAATACCAAATCACTAAAGCACACGAAAAAGTGTAACGAGAATGCAACACGGCGGCAAATGAATGACTTCATGCAAACCCGAGAACGCGATGCTTGTTAGTTTAGCCACTTCCTTCTTCCGTGAACCACTGTCGAACAAATTTAGATTCAAGTGTCAGAGGAGGAAGAGTCAAGAACCCCCTGCAAATACGCCCCGGGATGATACAGAACTACCAAAAAATAGTCAGACAAATCACGTCGTGCTTTTTGCAACAATACTTTTTCTGGATTTTATCTTAATGGCACAGCATTCCGTCAATCATGATATTTATGATAAATAAACAATAAGACAAAAGCATTGCCATAAGATATCAATCAAATAATTAATAAATAGCATCGCGTATAACTGTCACTACAGATTAACGTCGTTCTACTGGCATCGCGGTGCAATTTCCAAACAATAGCAGACAGCCATTGTTTACACTTAGTAAAAACAAAGCCTGTCACCAGTCGCCTACCATTACCCCCAAATTTTGGCATCTTCCCATCATGCAGTGCGATACATTTTTCTGAGCACATGCATCGCTTTCCGAAATTGACGACGTCTCGGAGTAGTGGAAGTCTTGATGCAGTTCGGCAGCGCCAAACGAAATGTCTAACCAGCGCTATGAATAGCTGAAAAGTATTCTTTGTCGATGCGTTTCATGAAAACAGGTCACTAATGCCGACTTTCAACGGAAATTGAGGCGAAATACTAACTTCAATCTCCGAATCTATCGGAAAACATGGGCACAGTGGCAGGAACAAAATGCTGTGGTGTGATTCTTTTGGCTCTGGATTTAATTTCATTGTAGTCGTTGTCCCTCACATCATAAATACGCAGCAACTCCTTTCTGTTCAACTTCTTCGGTAGTGTAGACAGCGAAGTTTGAAGTCTGCGAAATACTAATAATTAGGTGTTTGTGAAGCTGCGGGACCGGCGTGAAAGGCCAGGCAAATATTATTCCCAACTGCATGCAGCATGCTCTAGTGAGCAAATTAATGATACATTTTGCAGGAGCCCAGTACATGCCACTATGGTGCTTTGCGCAGTGAGTTTTCTAGTTGCGTTTTTGTCTGTCAGCATCACGTAATGGTGTACTGCATTTTCAGCTTGCCGGCGCTGTCATCGCTCATATTTACTGACCGAAGCAATTTCCAAAATGTCTCCCTGTATAGCATCTTTCAATATCAACGTTTGGTTAATGCTGTACAACGCCAGGTTGAAATAAGAAGCAACAGCGCAATTTGTAGCGGAGTCAACCAAAACAAACTGTTCCTCCATTATCCCCACCAGTAGGTTTTAAGGCCCAGAAAAAATGCCACAATGAGGTGAAGCGACTAAAAGACTTGCGTTAAACACACATTTTCACCTTAAATATACTCCTCGTTTATTCTGTCCCCACCATTCTGAACCAACCAGCCATGCATTGGTCTGGGGCCGGCCAGTAGGTGAATCCAGGCCTGCGACGCTAGAGCATTGGTCTAGGGCCGAACAGTAGTGAATCTAGGCTGCGACAATAGAGCATTGGTCTAGGGCCGGCCAGTGAATCCAGGCTGCGACGCTAGATCATTGGTCTAGGGCCGAACAGTAGTGAATCCAGGCTGCGACGCTACAGCTATTTTTGACGGGGTCTTTAAGCAATGCTGCTTTGTTTGCTTCCCGTTTATGCGTTTTCAGAGGCAAAGTGTCATCGTTTCGCCTGCACAATTTTTAAGGAATAGAGTTAATTGTGCATTTGGGTCGGTCTGAATTTAAGTGTCAAACTGATCAAGTGTCTGTGTCAAGTCAAGTGTCAAACTGCTAAGTGTCAACTGTCCAAGTGTCAAACTGTCAAGTGTCAAACTGACTGATCAAACAAAATCAATCTCGCTTTCACCATAGGCCCGCTGTATCCTCCCCGAACAGAAGATTATTAAGTTGGAAAAACATTTATCACTCATTTTTTTGCGTAATGGACTCACGTAAGAAGCTCCAAGGGATTGGAGCAGCCAAACAAGTTTCGCTGTTTCTTAAAAGTGAGCAAATAGTGTGATCAGCAAAAAAGTCGTATAAACCAATGCATACGGATGAAGTAGAATATTTCCAACTTCCGCGACATTTTTTCGGTTGAAAGCTATGTACTCAAACGCTGCCATGATGGAAGAACTGCTACCACGTACTTGTATCCGCTTGGTAATCTCCTACAGCGCACATGTAAGGCCCGGAACTCGTTGAGCCAACCTTCCATATGATTGCTGCAGAATGAGCACATAAACCCGGACGAGTAATCGCGCAGGGGATTCGTGTATTCAAAGATCTGTAGATGAATACCCGGTCTCCAAGAAACATCTAACTCAGCTGCTGGCTGGGAGGATCAAGTGTGAATGCGCGGACTTCGCTGAGATACAAACCGACTATGTGACGCCTTTTCTGCTTTCAGGGCGCCAGAAAGGACACCGATCTCGGAGATGGACAGCCGATCTCGGAGCGGTCGAGGAGGACTCTGGAGTCTCCTGCCCCCGTCTGGGAGGAGACGAGGAGTACTACGAGCTCAGCCCGGAGCCCGAGTTCGAGCGGGACGCCTCCCCCTACCTGAGCTCCGAGGCGGAACCCATCCCAGATCTGGAGCCCACCATGGGCTCGTACCCGGCCCCTGAGCGCGAAGAGGAGGAGGAACCGGACATCGAGATTGACCCCGATCTTGACGCTGACCTCGAGGTTGACCCGGACAGAGAGCCCTCCGCAGAAGCGGAGCATGAGCCAGAGGTGAAGGCCAGTTCTGAACCTGCAGACGAACTCTATCCAGAACATGATGCAGAGGAAGAGGGCTACCCGGAGCACGAGCAGGATGCTGAGCACGAGGCTGTGCCTGACTGCGAGCGCTTTGGTGACGATGTTGAGGATGACGTACGTTTTCGGGTCGCCACCGGCCCAGGGCCAACTCGCGGAAGGTAAGGGTGCACTGTCTACACCACTAAGTGCGGATGTCATTTCTTGGGAGTGTTGTAGGAAATACGCCAATGTGCCAATCGTTGCGTTTCAGTGCCACGTGAACGGGACAGCTGATCAGTATTTGGTGGTGTATTGCTTGGTTTAGCAAGCCACCTCTCGCCACCCATAAATTCGTGGAATCTCCCCGTCGTGCACGGCTGTGTTGCTGTCGTAAACTGTGCTATAGCCTGAGCTGCATGGCGCAGCTCTTTGCAAGCGGTAGGAGCACATGTGAATCTATGCGAATATCTTAATGATTACCGGCCATCATTGCGCAACACAACGCATAGAGATGCACCCGTGATTTGGCTGTGTTTTTCACTACTGGGGAGAGCTAACAGGTATTTGTATTTGACCTGTTCGCATGGTGTGCCATCGATTCATGCCAGGCAAGAACAGGCAATAGCCCCTGCGTGAGACCGGTACGTTGGTGTTTCAGATTGCAAGGATGCTGGTGCGTCGCTCGACCAAGACGATCAGGCGCAAGACGCGTGGTGAGTGCAATATAAGTCTTGCACAAAAGTGTTTTATGCTTGGTGTAACCAAGCAAGGCCCTGAGCTTCGGGTGTTCAGAGTTCAGCCTGGCCCCCCGGCATGGCACCTGACAAACCACCGAGGACTGTCAGTCAGCTTCTCCCCTCCGCCTCCCCGAGCCATGCCCCGCCCAAGCCCCGACACCCACGCTCCGCAGTGGTGGCGCGCGGTCCTGACCGAGCGGTCCGCCACGGTCCGCGGCGCCGCCACCTCCTGCCATCGCTCGGCCATCGGCGGCGCTCGGGGGCCGCCGCCGCCGCCGCCGCTGCCGTCAGCTGCCGCCGCCGACGGCCGGCGTTGCGCGCACATCTCACCATCGATTCGGACCCGGAGACGGCGGGCCCGCTGGTGGCGTCGGCCGAGCGCGGTCTGACGGCGCAGTGTACCGCTGACCGCCGCCGTGGCCACGGCATGACCCTCCGTGCTGCAGATCCCCCTGCTGCGGCTCGGGTGAGTGGTTGACCCGGAGGTGGCGGGTCGTGGGAGGGGTCTCACCTTGTTGGCGTTAGAGGGCGCTGACTCGAGGTACGTACCGACTTGGATGACATTTTTTCCAAACCCTTTGTGGTGTATGAGAGACCAGATGAGCTTGTGTCAGAAATTGTGAACCTACGCAGTATTTGTGCGGTCCCTTTGTCCCTAGAAGCTTGCAATCATCACAATATCAATTATATATCAGCAATCAATATCAAATAATGTATTACAATATCAGCCATTAATCACAATATCACAATCGAACTTCAAGGCACTGCCACTACCCAAAAAACAAAAAAACAATTCATTCTCTCCGAGAACGGGCAAAGCGTGTTGTTGCGGCTTGTCGAACGGGCAAAGCCTACTCTGCGTGTGCTTGGGCTCTTCAGCCTCAGCACACGCAGAACAGCGGAAATATTACATTTGTTGCTTAATATATACTGCAGGCCGGCGCTGGATTCGAGGACTTGGCCATATTGCGGTTACTGGATGCCACACTGTTCTGCTCTTCTCCCACTTATCTTAGAAACCAATGGGCTGGTCCCACCGATAGTGATGCGGAATTCGCAGTCCAGTGCTCTGTGATCTAGACAATGTATTCTTGGTATCGAAGTCGGTGGCAATGTCAGGTCAACTCAAGGTCAATGATTGATTCTCAGGGAGTTGTGGAACTGTGCTTTCTGTGCTATCTAGACATATCAAACAACGGCTTGGATGGCCAAAAATGGTTTGTGCACATTTCCGATGTCTGGCAAGTTTAGAATTTGTTGTTGACCTTCATTGGAGGGGGGAAGGGGGAGGGGGGATTACCTCTTGGTCACTGCACAGAGTGCAGCCCAGTGCAAACCTGCGTTGGAGAGGAGTTAAGTCGTTCGATGTGCCGACATATAGTGTTGCTTATGTTTGCTGGTGGGGATCTTATCACGATGTCAAATACATGCATCGTTTTCCTTTTTCTACGTTGCAATTTCTCAGGTCAGAGAACAGGTCAACCCCACAAGTCAAGCAATGTCCAATAGTGTGCCCCTAGAGTCACTACCAATTGGCAATTATCTGCACAAAAGCAAGTCTTTATGTCTTAGTCATGACACTCTGAGAGGTTGGATCATAGCATAGCACGGCTACTAAGACTTCAATAGCAATGCTCTATCTAAAACGTGGAGGAGCGATCCTGATCATTTTCCTACAATGATTACATGCATGCGCATCCAAGGCTGCATGTGGCGTCGCACCAAGTATATATGCAGCGGGAATCGTTGTTTAGCGAAATGTCCCATTTGTTGACATATTTGGACACCACGTAGCACTGACATTCTTACGCATAATTGAGTTTTAGAAAATATGACGGAACTAACAGCCTTTTTCTCGTAGCATAGCCAGGAGAATGGAGGGGCGGATGTATTGATGTTTCGGCTACATGCCTCTGTCGAAACAAATACCAGTAGCAAGTTTGACATTGCTCCTGACATTCCTTTCCATAACGGCATATAGCTGAAATACCACTGCATCTGTTTGTTCATCTGGCGATTCTAGAAGGAATGAGGGTATTAGTGCTGTCTTGTTCGTAAGCATAATGCTTCCCGCAAATGCACTGACAGCTTACGTAACCTTTCCAAAAGCCCGCTGTAGTATATCGTATACTTCTTAGATATGTGAAATTTCGGACAGATAGATTATTCTTATGAATATCGTGGCTAGACTTCAAAAGTGTCGAACAGAAATCGCCAGAAAGACACCTCTTGCACGGCATGCATTTAACACTCCATGCTAATTAATCACCTGCTAGAGCACGCGGCCCTCCTGTACTTGTTTTCTCGAGAGGCACAAGTGTTTTTTTTTTCGTAGAGCCTATTTTCACAAACATGTGTGGTCTTGGTCGACTGCGCAGCTTGTGCAGTAGCATTCTGCAGCCCTAGGATGTTGGAAGACCTTGGCCTGGTAAACCTTGCCCTCTAAATACCTCAAAGGGAGGAAGCCGTAGACTAGAGTCGGGGAACCGGGACGGCAGCTCGTGAGCCATGTTGATCGAAATGGGCCTGTCACCAAACCGCTCCTCCGCCACGATCGTGCCGTCCCGCTGGGGTAATGGACATGCAGGCTGTCGATACAATGCAGCTGCGGTCAAACTACAACAGGCCAATGAGCCATGAACAGTCGATCGCGTAACAAGCGTGACTGTCAGCAGTGCAGCAGCTCTCTGCTACACCATGCGTGACTGTTAGCCGCGCAGCAGCCTCTGCCATACCATGCGTGGCTGTTGCCGGTGCAGGCGGCCTCTGCTATACCATGCGTGACTGTTAGCCGTGCAGCAGCCTCTGCCCTACCATGTCAGCTGCGTAGGTTCTCTAGAACGAGTAGTCTGTAAAATTCAAGCCACTTTCCACGTCAAAATGAGCTTCATTTAACATTCATATCTATTCCCAGAAATGCATCGTATTTTTGCTACTGCGGCTGAATCAGCCATGAACAGAGCGATTTCTGGGCCCCCGTGTCCATTTTCCTTGCGGGATGTGGCGAGTCCATGTTTTGAAAGGATACACTCCGGCATCCCCTTTGAGAATCCTATTCTGGGCCTTTGAGCCCCAAAACCCAAGCTCTTCCAGCAGGTGGCGGACTGACTTTCTAGGTAATTGGTTGCTAAGGAATGTCTTTCCGGTTCGTGAAAATTGGATTCCTGTCATCTCGGTGCGAACATTCTTGCTGAGTTTTTTATCGATCCTTCACAGATATACTTTTCTATGAACTTACTCGTAAATATCACGGTCCTCGTTAAGACTGTCATCACTTGAAATCACCTTGTAAATGGATTTGTCTTTTGGTGGACTTGGCCTTAAGTCGAAATTTCACTGACCTTTTTTAAAGCCTGCCATCCAAAAAATTAATGGCATACAATGGCAATGCTGACACCATATATAACCACCTATGAATGTTTTCCACCCAAGGATATTTTTCTACCGAGAGCTATCATTCGTGCATAAAACTTTGATGGAATGCAGAAGCTTTCAGTGAAGAACAAAAATATCCCGATTCGTGTAGAATGCTCCCGTATATAGCCTACATGTTTTGATAGAAGTGGGGAGCAAATTAACGCATTGCCGTCCACATTTTCATCCGTCATTTTTATAACCCATGGTTCAACCAACAACGATCATGGTTTCCGCCTCAGGCGCATGGGCGGGGACTAGACCGTCAACTAAAAAAAAAAACAACACTGAATCCGTACCTAAAGCAGGGAGCCTCCAGAAAGCGTGGGCAAACATATTGTTTTACATTTCCAGCCGTAACATAGATTCATATTGCTCAGCAAAGCTAGCAGTTAGTCTGAAATGTCCAAAAAATACTTCCTACTTGCGTCTGTGCATGTTTGCATCACTTCCAGCGTGATGGACACATTTGTCAGAGGTCATGAGAACACAATTTTGACCGCCTTTCATCGGTACGCTGTTGGGACAGCAGGACGATTTTTGCTGAGGCGAGCGTCGCCCAACTTGACGCTTGATGCCTTTTGCTAACGTGCAGGTAATCTGAATCTATTGCCATGATGAAGACATCGCATGACAAGAAATGCCAAGAACTTAAAAAAGATCACATTACCAATATTTTTGATGCCTTCCAATGACGCCACTTTGACGTGAGTATGACGCCCTTTTGCTGCATGTGCCGAGTAAGGTGCTGTCAAGTAGCGACTACTATCGCCATGGAGCTGATATCGAGCCGTGACCGCAGATGCCGAGTCCGTCGCCTTTGAGAGCCGACACGAGGCGGCTTTATCAATGCGTCCGAATATTTGACTCTCCCAAGCTAACAAAGGGCAATAAGGCAAATGAGGCATTTGTGTTTAGCGCTCACGTAGAAATTCGATATTTGATGAAATGCGACCTTGCTGGAATGTTGGCTGGCTTTGGGCCTGCCAAAGTACAGCGACTTTGATTGACAATATTGAGGGATCTTAGCCAGTCGATCTCAGCAGCTTGCGGTCCTGTTGTTTGAGGCGGGAATATTGAGAAAACTAGCATTTTGTAGTGTATTAGCCACCATACTCTTTTCTGTACATAGCTTAGCTTTCTCGAAGTGTCCATAGGACTTAGGCCGTATCTTGCTCAGGGTCGGTTTCGGAGAAGACGACGCTGTTCACTCTTTAGCCATCTTAGCGCTCCTTTATCTGGCTAGTGTAGGTAATATACAGCCGGTACTTTCACATGTCGCAGCACAACTGGTTTGATGTTTCTTCCTGCTCTTGTTGCCGAGATTCGACACCGACATCGCGACATGGACGGGTCTACAATCTGCGTACGGTGGTTCCGTCATAGTCTGCACTCGTTGACTCTCGCCATTGCCAGTATGGGTGCCGGCGTTCTCGTCCGTCGGTGTTGATATGTCCGGTGTCGCTGCGACGTTCGGTCGTCGGGATTCTAAACCTGTTTTCGATCTGAGCTCCCAGATTTTTCCTGACGGGAAAATTCTGCGTTTCCATTTCGATGACATG